GAAGCGGATGATGCCAGTAGAAATCATAATGCCAACCCAACAGTCCCTTACTGTTAACCTACCGACATATGATGTGAATACATCTGAGTCCATTACATCTGAAATCTTCTATTCAGCAGACCTTCCTACAATCTCAGGAATTGCAGATGAGGCTGATGTTCTTTCCTCGCTTCAGAGGCCAAAGAAAGTAAGGCACTTCTTGATGTTTTTACATTTTTCTCCGAAGATTTTTTTCCTTCTATTTTGTTTAACCTGATGTGAAGTCCGCCAAACTGGAAAGAAAGGAATCTAAGATGCTTTGAAAGCAAAGTAGAGAACATAAAAATGGGCAACCCAGTGCACAAAGCATTTCGTGTTCACGCAAGGTCCAGGGAAGGGCCGCACCCAAGGGATGTGATATAGGCAGTCTACCCTAACGCAAGCATCAGTGGCTGATTCCACGGCTCGAACGTACATAAGTTAAAATACAAATGTCTCTCTGTTATGGCCTTTCGGTGTGATGTGGTGAATGTAAATGAAGTAGACGAATGTTGGGATTTCTTAGTCGCTTTACAGTGTAAAGAAGGCAATCACTACCGTAAGCACTACCTGGGTGCTGCTTTTTTTTCTTTTCCATTAATAGAATCTTCACTTACCAATCAAAATAAAAAATCTGATTTTTTTTTTATGTTCTACTGATAGCTTCACCCTCGCCTAGTAATTCTTCTTCCTTCCTCTTTAGTTATATAGCTAAGTTAGTATAGATACCAAATGTTTAACAAAATGTGATGCTCTACATACACCAAAGCTGTTGCTTAGCACAAATGGGGATACAGAAGCTATACGATGGATGACTGCTTGAAAAGATGGTTTTGCACAGCAGATATTTTCTTTGATAAAAGGTAAGGAGCTAATAAAGTCTAACAGTTGACACATACCATTTATAACTTCTTTGTCAAGTGTCCCACATTGATTGAGAGATGGGTTGCTTGTCTCCTTATATGGTCTTGGGCAATCCTCATGTCATAAGCTAGCTTTTAGGGCTGAGTTAGACCCAAGGTCCATTTCTTCACATGGTACTAGAACCAGGCCCGTCCCTATTATTGTGTCTCCCAATATTGGTCCCCCATTTTATGTTGTCCATGCTCCGGTTGGTAGGCCTGGGCGTACGAGGGGTGTTCGGTGTCTCATATTGGTTGAGGAATGGATGGTTTGTCTCCTTATATGGTCTTGAGAAATCCTCACCTTATGAGCTAGCTTTTGGGGTTGAGCTAGGCCCAAAGTCTATTTCTTTACACTCATTTACGCCAGAAAGCAGAAACTGGAAACAGATATACTTAAGTTGATGTGCTGGTTTTCTGCTTCCTTCAGAACGGTTGCTATTTCTCCCCATAGCACCCAGAGTATGCCTAATGGGATTGTGCAGAACATATATTATGATTAGGTGGATCTTCTTGCAATGGCTCATTATAATATGTCCTTCATATTTGAGCAAATCCTCATTTTCCTTTTTTTTTTTGTTTTGTAGATTATTCTTTTGGGAAGTGATGGAATTGAGCGGCCATTCCTTTGCAAACCCAAGGATGATCTCAGGAAAGATGCACGTATGATGGAATTCAATGCTATGGTCAATCTTCTTCTATCCAAGTGCTCTGAGAGTCGTAGGAGGAAGCTCTATATTCGCACATTTGCAGTGATACCACTGACAGAAGATTGTGGTATGGTTGAGTGGGTTCCTCATACCCGTGGGCTTCGACAAATACTCCAAGACATTTACATAAGCGGTGGCAAATTTGATAGACAGAAAACAAATTCTCAAATTAAGCATATTTATGATCGGTGCCTGGGTAAAATGCCAGAAGATGAAATGCTAAAGAACGAAATCCTTCCAATGTTCCCTCCAGCTTTCCATAAATGGTTCTTGAACACATTTTCTGAACCAGCTGCTTGGTTCAGGGCTCGGGTTGCATATGCTCATACTACTGCTGTTTGGTCAATGGTTGGGCATATAGTGGGCCTTGGAGATAGGCATGGAGAAAACATCCTCTTTGATTCAACCACTGGTGACTGTGTTCATGTTGATTTCAGCTGCTTATTTGACAAAGGTTTGCAGTTAGAGAAACCAGAACTGGTTCCTTTCAGGCTAACACAGGTACGAAGAAAAGAACAAAGATCTTTTGACGTATTAGCATTAGAAAAGGGTTTGAAATTTATCTTGGTAATCAGGTCAGAACTGAATTTGTGGGGAAATTCTCGTTTTGTGACTTACTCGTTACATTGACCTCATGCAGAACATGATTGATGGCTTGGGCATAACTGGTTATGAAGGAATCTTCCTAAGGGTTTGCGAGATCACACTTTCTGTATTACGGGAACATAGAGAGACGCTAATGAGTGTCCTTGAAACTTTCATCCATGATCCTCTGGTAGAATGGACCAAATCTCATAAATCCAGTGGGGTGGAGGTCCAAAACCCTCATGCACAGGTTGGAGCTTTTATCTCGTCCTTAATATATGTGCTGCAGTTTCAGTTATACTTTTGTCTCTGGTGACTGAAATCAATGAGTTTGATAGACAACAATTTCTTGTGGTGATGCCTTCGCAAGATTGTTATATATTTATAGTTACGACAAGAAATAACTGGGTTGAGTGCATGATTTGCATTAGTTGTCTTAAGCACAGGGATTCTTTCTACTAATTACTCTAATTGTACTTTACCACAGAAAATATTTTGACATAACTGCTAAATGGCTTTCCTTGATATTTACAGCGAGCAATCAGTAACATAGAAGCACGGTTGCAAGGAATTGTCGTTGGTGTGGGAGCTGCACCATCGTTGCCTCTTGCTGTGGAAGGGCAAGCTCGTCGCCTGATTGCTGAAGCTGTTTCACATAAAAATCTTGGCAAAATGTATATATGGTGGATGCCGTGGTTTTAAACCTCTATGGTGCCCATTAATTGCAATATGTTTATCTCTGTCTCTCTGAATTCTGCAAAGTTGGTTGTGATCTTCAGCAGTAAGGCATCTCTGGGAAGATACAGTCTGTAAGTACATGCTCTGCCCTTCCAAATGTTCTATATAATACTCTTGATGTCCTTGTGAATCATTCGATGAGCATGGGTGTGCATGAAATGATACAGGGTGTAAAAGGATTTTGGAGGCACCTCACGTGGTTCTTATTAGTACCTTTCTGCTGCTAGTTTTCACAAATCTGCTTGGGAATTTTGAGACTGCCTAATTCCTGATTATGTGACTTTTGTTTGCACCTAATAATTGGCCCTACTGATTGCTTTTGGGAGCTTTAAAGGAAAGTTGAGTTTTTCTACTCCCTAGTGTCTGAAAGTCAATGATTCATTCAGTCATAAGAACAAGAAATCTAAAAAGTTTGTCAGTTGATATATTCTAAGAGTTTATCAGTTGATATGTTCTACTTTTCAGGTTCTCATTCAGTCACCTTTTTCAACAATGGCTTTTCGGCACATGGAAGTTTGATAAAGAAAATATCTAGTTGTGGAAAAGAATCTAACTCGTTATGAAATCCAAATATTTCAGTTATTTGAGGAGGAACTAGTAGTAGTCCTGCAAGAAGTGCTTGGCAATTTGCATATTTTGTTTTTATGCATTTGACCTAATATAGCTTTATTATATTTCTTAATCTGCAATTAATGGATATATGGTGCATTAACTTTTTTTTGTGTGTGGGGGGGAACCAAAAGACAGCAGTCACATAGTTACATAATTATTACACAGTAATAATCAACAAATGGATAGTCATTTTATCGGGGCTTAACTTTCTGGATAATATATGAGAAACTAGTTGGAGTAGTTTTCACCCTTATTGTCCTGGAGATCTTGCATACACTTTTGAAGCTTATATCTATTTCTGCTGTTGGATCTCGCCTTTCGTGCACAAATGAGAAAATAATGGCTGACAGGTTGTAATACACTTTTGCAGTATGACTATATTCTTGTAAGGAGATCCTCCAGTCTGCCTTGGATATGCTTGCTTGCGCTGAGTAGGTTTTCCAACCACCTGCAGAAATTTTGGTTGATTGGCTGGGTAAGAGCAATCCGTGCAGCAACTTGGTTTTGCCGCTGTCTTTGTTTTACTTGTGAATACTCCATGTATACTAGGATCTCAATGACTTTGGTTTGCTTATATAGCCATCAAGAGAAAAGACTCTTGTATGCTTCTTACAGATTTGCTTGATATCTTGCAAATTCCTCTGATTTACTTCTTATCTACACTATTGCAGTTTGATTTGTTTCAGTCGGATTTGCAATTGCTGAAGATGATGTCGGCATGGAAACCCGATATTCATATGATAACCAAAATATTAGATGCTTGAATAGCTCTTGAAGAGTGAATGTTCAGCAAAAATGCTGATGGTTCAGTGGCTGAAGATGATTATTCCACACAAGTTACATACTTCTCCTAAGCTGTCTCATTGATTATGACGACAAAATGCAGATGAGGGAGGGGTATTAGGTGTTAGTTTATAGATATGTATAGTGTAATCTTGTCCCACATTGGAAGAGGAGTAATATCTCCTTGTAGTGTATAGCTATAAATAGGGACCTCTTGTATTGTATTTATCATCCAATATCAATAACATATTTTCTCCCATGCCTTCTCACATGGTATCAGAGCATTATTGAGAAAAGATCGTTGTGCGTTATTCCAGCGTTAACCGGGAAGAAAGAACTTAGTCATCGTGTAATTTTTCCGGTGACCTAAGGCTTGTCTAAGTGAAAGTCACTTTCTGTCGATGTTGTGCTAAAACCAACACCACCGCGAGGTAGATCACCCTCCGACTACCAACCCTTGAAATTTTATCCGGCAGAAAAGCCGCCACGCTCCTCCACGCGCCGGCAACAACTTTTCCGGCGAGGGTTCCGGTCACTTTCCGGCCATTTTTTCTCGAAGCTTCTTCAGGACAGTGTGTTCTCCTCAAAATTCCGAGCCTACCCATCTAATTCAAATCAAATTTCGGCCACTTTTATATTTTTTCGGCGTGAACAGTGACCTTTCTGGCCATTTTTTGAAAATATTTCATTAGGACAGCTTGCTCGCAAAGGAATTCCGAGTTTATCCATCCTGGTTACAACAAATTCCGACAACTTTGGAATTTTCCGGCTAGCTACAGTGTTTCCGTCTTGAACAGTGTTTCCAGCACAGAACAGTGTTCTGTTTTCCTGCTATAAACAGTATTTTTTAAGCTATTTCTTCAGTTTTCTCACAGGAGTTACTTATTTTCACTATTTCAAGTTAACCATACTGCTACAAATTGTAGCGACATGGGAACCGATGCTTTGAATAGTCGGATGGTTTCTTTAGCAGAGTATATTGAGTTCCTTCAGTATAAAGCATGTAAGCAGACATCTTCTGAGATAGCTTCTGTTGTTCAAACAGGTAATATCGTGACTTGTTTCTCCCAATTTTCATCCTCTGAGTTTTGGGTCATTGATTCAGGTGCATCAGATCATATTTCTGGTAACAAATCTCTTTTCACTACTATTTCGTATTCTCAATCTCTTCCAAAAGTCACAATGGCCAATGGGTCTCAAACCATGGCAACTGCAATAGGTCAAGCAAGCCCACTTCCTTCCTTACCTTTAGATTCAGTCCTTTATGTTCCCAATAGTCCTTTTAATCTCATAGCTGTTAGTCGCTTAGCCAAATCACTTAAATGCGCTGTTTTATTTCTTGATGATCATGTTTTTATACCGGAACGCAGTACGGGGCGGATCATTGGTACCGGGTGTGAATCAAACGGACTTTATTATCTTATCCTTGCTAAATCACATGGACTCACATCTTGTCTTCCTTCTACAACTTGTCGTGTTACTGATTCACCAGATTTATTACATAAACGGTTGGGACATCCCAATTTGTCAAAACTTCAGAAAATGGTATCTGGCTTATCTCACTTGTCAGCTCTAGAGTGTGACTCATGTCGGCTCGGTAAGCATACCCGCTCCCATTTCCCTCGGCGTCTTGATAATCGAGCAGAGTCACCTTTTACTTTAGTCCATTCAGATATTTAGGGTCCTAGTCGGGTCAGTTCTACCTTAGGATTCCGCTACTTTGTCAGTTTCATTGATGATTATTTCAGGTGCACTTGGATATTTTTGATAAAAAATCGATCTGAGCTATTTTCTATTTTTCAGACCTTCCACGCTGAATTCAAAATCAATTTGGGGTTTCTATTCGCACATTTCGTAGTGATAATGCCCGAGAGTATTTGTCTTCCCCATTTCAACAGTTTATGAAATCTCATGGGATTATTCATCAAACATCTTGTCCGTACACATCTCAACAAAATGGGGTAGCTGAAAGAAAGAATATGCATTTTATTGAAACTGCTCGTACCCTACTCATACAACCTCATGCTCCGTTGCGTTTTTGGGGGGATGTCGTTCTTACATCTTGCTATCTTATTAATCGTATGCCATTTTCAGCTATCCAAAATCAAGTTCCATTCTCTGTCATGTTTCCCCATTTACCTTTGTTCTCTCTTCCACCCCGTATCTTTGGAAGCACTTGTTTTGTCCATAACCTTACTCCAGGAACAGATAAGTTAGCTCCTCGTGCTCTTAAGTGCGTATTTCTGGGTTTCTCGAGAACACAAAAGGGGTATCGATGCTACTCTCCTGACCTCCAGCGGTACCTTATGTCCGCTGATGTTACCTTCTTTGAAACCCAATCATACTTCACAGGTTCAGGTCATCACTTAGATATTTCTGAGGTACTACCAGTTTCATCTTTTGGAGATTCAGTCACTCCAGCTCCACCACCTACAGCTCCAGTT